TTTTTGCTTTAGATAAATTTTGTTCATATTTACTTGACTCTAAAATAATTGTTTTCTTTGATTATGCAGCTTTGAGGTACTTGCTTAAGAAGTTAGATTCTAAATTGAGACTAATTCACTAGATGCTTCTTTTGCAAGAATTTGACATTAGGATCAGGAATAGAAGTGGTGCAGAAAATTTAATGGCACACTATTTGAGTAGAATTCAGTAGCTACTTAAGGATCTCCCCATTCAAGACACCTTTCTAGATGAGCAGCTCTACCACATTAGAGGACATGATCCTTGGTATGCCGATTTGCTGAATTATTTGGCTGCTAAAGAGATTCCTACATACATTTCCAAAACTCAGGCTGCCAAGCTGAAGAGTGATTCCAAATACTATATTTGGGATGACCTATACTTGTGGAAGATGTATAGTGACAAGATTATCAGATGATGTGTGCCTGAACCTGAGTTTCTATCTGTAGTGTTACCATTCCTTGGCTTGTGGTGGACACTTTGGACCTCAGCATGCAGCCTGAAAGATCTTAGATACTGAATTATATTAGCCTACTATGTTCTAGGATGCACACACCTTTTAAAAGACATGCGAGCGATGCCAAAGGACTGGGAACATCTCGCGTAGGAATGAGATGCCCTAACTACCTCTTCTTTTCTGTGAGGTGTTTGATGTATGAGGTATAGATTTTATGGGTCTCTTTCCTATTTCATTTGGCTATGTTTATATTTTGTTAGTAATGGACTATGTCTCCAAGTTGGTGGAGTGAAAGGCCCCTCATACTGATGATGCTCGTGTTGTTGTAGATTTTGTGAAGTCACATATTTTTTGCAGGTTTGGATTTCCCAAAGCATTAATCAGTGACCAGGGATCACACTTTTACAATCATACAATGGAAGCCTTACTTTGGAAGTTTGGAGTTATGCATAAAGTTTCCACACCATACCACCCCAGACTAACAGACAAGCAGAGATCTCTAATAGGAAAATAAAACAAATCTTGGAGAAGAATGTCCAACCCAATAAGAAGGATTGGAGTCTGCGCTTAGAGGAAGCTCTTTGGGCTCACAGGACCACCTACAAGACACCCCTAGGAATGTCTCCTTTTCGGGGTTATTGTTGACAAGGCATGTCATTTACTAGTGGAAGTGGAGCATAAAGCATTCTAGATGATCAAACAATGTAATTTGGATATGGAAGCACCTGGTTCACATAGGAAGCTTCAATTACAAGAGTTGGAGGAAATTCGTAGAGAAGCATATAAGAACTCCAACATCTACAAGGAGCGCACTAAGGCTTTTCATGATAAGCTAATAGGGCATAAAGAGTTCTACATTGGTGACAAAGTCTTTTTATATAATTCTAGACTTAAGTTGATGCCCGGTAAATTGACTAGATGGGATGGTCCCTTTCTTGTTATTAATGTTTTTTCTTATGGTGTTATTGAACTACAGGATATGGGATCTCAAAGGAGCTTCAAGGCTAATGGGCATTGGCTCAAGGTTTTTCATAAGGACTTGCAAGAACATACACAAGAGGAGGCCACTTTTGGATTGGCCACCAACCCGGTTTATAGAGAATTTTTCTTACTTTTCTCTCATTTATTGGATTGTCTTTGTGCTTATTGTGTTTCCATTGAGGACAATGTTAATATCAAGTGGGGGGGGGGAGTATTATGTTTTGGTGTACATAGTCTAATTAAGTGATTATTTCATGGCTTTGATGGATTGATTGAATCATTCTTCAATTTGATAGGTAGACTTTGAAAAATCTTGTGTGTTGGATTATTTGTGATAGAATATATATCTTGTGAGGTTTTGAGCCATTGATATAGATGACAACATCATGTCACTTTCTTTCAATGTGTGATTGCACTAATGGTTGTATGACATTAAAATTGCCTTAAGTCTTTTTGAGACTATATTTTCATATGCTTGCATTAATATGATAGAGGCATTATTTTTTTCTTACAAACTACTAGCCAAAAAGTCAACCTTGCATTATTTCAATCGTTTGAGCCCCTTTGAGCCTAATTGTTCTATTTCTTGTAATCCTAGCTCATTTCAAGCCAAATGTGTAAAACAGTAACATGATCCAACCTTAGGGAATACAAGAACTTTGGAATTGTTTTGGGAATGATCATAGAAATAAGTGTGGGGGAGATTGCCTTGGAAAATGCAAGAGAAAAGAAAACCAGCTTCTTAATAAAAAAAAAAAAGGACAAACAAAGAAAATGAGAAAGAAAAAAAATAAGCAATAAAAAGGAAAAGGAGCATTGGATGGCTAGCAAAAGTAAAAGAGGATTATTTTTTGATTGTATTGCATCATATATTTGTTTGGGAGATTTATTTTCATGCTTATTTTCTTTGGATCCATTCCCCATTGTTTTTAGATCCTTTTTGGTTTTAGCTTGATTACCTTTGTAATTCTTCCACATTCACCTTACTCTCTTTATAACCTAGCAAAGTCTCTTGATTTTTTTTGTGTATGTATGAATTCTAGTGGAGAAGTAGGCAATAAGAAAGCTTATGATTGATCATGCTTCATGTTGCACATTTTGAGTGATACACTTTACCTTATACACTTGAGTGATTGAGAGTATGTTATGTGATGATTCCATCTCTTATGGTTCATTCACTTGATTTGATAAGTTCATTTGTCAATTTGAAGTGTGAGGATTGATTTCCATTCTATCCATGATATTTAAACTTGATAAGCTTTGTACATAACTTAGTTTGTTTTTGGTTCCGTATGGTTTGATTTTGTGATTTTCCCCGGAGGGCAAAGTCTTAAGTGTAAGAGAATTTGATGTAACATATTTTAAGTTTATATTTATAGTTTTATTTTGATTAATAAATACTTTTAATATGCTTTATTTTTAGAGTTTTTATCATTTTCTAATTGTTTAAATAAATTGAGTTTGTTATAAATAAATGCTTTAATTTCATATTTTAAGTTATTTTGACCTTTGACTACTCTTTTGACCATAACTTTATCTACATATATCTTTTTTGGCTGATTCCAGTTGCATTGGATTCTACACATCTAGGGCTTCAAAATGCATATCAATCTTTGGATTTGGAGTTTTTTTTATTTTATGATTTTTTAAAGTTGAGGCAGACTTGTTAAATATTATTGCGGGATTGCATTTGGACCCTTGTTATTTAATAATTATATTTAGGCTTTTAGATATTATTGAGGCCCGAATTTTAGCCACTTAATTTACCCTAATCAGAACTTATAAATAGACTAATAAGGTTTTGAATTAGGGAGTGCGATTAAACACTTTGAGTTTTTGAGAGTTGGCTGAAATAATAATCCTTGTTTTTACTTTCTCTCGAATTCTCTCATTCTCATGTGGTTAAGTGCTTCGATGGAAGGCTAAACCTCCCATTCAATCCACGAAATCCAAATGCTATACATCCTATTTGAGTTTTGAACAAAATTGCTCTGAGTTTGTTCCCTTTTCTCTGATCTCAGATTTGTGTATTGCGATCGTAATTAACTTTTATGTAGTTAGAATTCAAATTAGGATTCAATTGATATTCTAATTTGATAATTAATTTGGATTAGGTTAAATGATAATTTGATTTAATCTGTGATCTAGTTCAATTAGGTTATTTGATTGAATTAATAATTGAATTGGGTAAATGTTCAAACTTGGATTAAAATCTTTAGATATTGTGATAATCGGGGTTACACATATTTGGTATTTTATGGATTGATATTTCTTAATTCATTTTTACCCAATTTTATTCTATCTGTAATTTAATTTGATTAATTTGCAATTTTTAAAACCCCCAAAAGTTTTCTCGCATTTTTTAAAAGAAAACATAAAATTGAATTTAACTAAAAATGTGTTTCTGTGAATCGACCTAGGTTTAGTTCTATATTACAAAATTCTTAGAGAATTTAGTTGTTTTGATAGCGACTTAACATCATCTATCAGAACTTTGATATTCAAAACACTTAAAACAAAGGATGAAAGGAGGGAGAGGATGATGCATAAAGATGAGAGTAGAGTAAAGAGGAGGTAGTAAGCTAGAGAGAAGAGAAGTTTTTCTTTTGAATTTTTTTATTTCATTATCCTATGTTTATGTGTATCTTTTAGTGTGTGTAACGGCCTAGATGGAGTAATATAGGATGTCTATGCCTAAACACTTTCTTCAGATGTTGTAATATCATTATTGTTAAAGTAAACTAGAAATAATAAGATAATTAAAAAAAAAATAATTAACGAGATTGTAACATGTTTGTATGCATGCATGTATAAACATTATACATGGTAAATTTTTTTTATAAATAATAAGTTTGATTAAAATTACCACTTTTAATAATATGAATGAATTATATTTCAATAATTCTTATAATTTTAGTAAAAAATTATCAAACAAAAAATTATGAATTTTTTCAAAAATTCTTTAAAAGCTTTTATTTTCTTATGGCGTATATGAATAATGTTCTATTTCTATTTTGTAATTATAAAACTAAGATTTAATTTTAAATTGCAAAATTTATTCATAATTTTGATAACAATTTTATAATAATTCTCACACTTCTCTCTTCAAATAATATTAATATATATATATATATATATATATATATATTTCTAAAATATTAATTAATATTTTATATTATGTAATAAAATATTTATTTAAATTAATAATTAAATTAATATTGCTTGTATATAATTTTTGTTGATAAAATATTTTATTTTAATTATTATGTTATCTTATTTTGCAATTTTTTTTTGTTATAATATATATTATTCAATTATTATATATTTAAATAAATAAAATTAGTAGTTTTTGCCATATAAAAATATTTAATACAATTAATTAATTCCATAGTTTATTAGTTAAAAATATTATTTTAAAAAAATATCAATAAAATTTCTATTTTATTTTGATAACAATTTTTATTGTGTTTTACTTAAAGAAAATTAATTTTATCAATATGCGGGTAGTGCGAAATTAAAAAAAAAAATAAAAAATCAGAGCTTATAAGGAAAGTGCCCTCCAAAGGAGTGTGGTGAAGCGCGAATCACACGCCACGACACAGTCAAATTCAGCGCACGCACCTGGTTGCTTTCTCTCTCTCTCTCTCAATTGTGATGGACCCACGCGATGCCGATACTTCTCAGCTTCAGCCTCAGCCTGACGATGATTTTGAACCTTTAAGGGTTTCTGTCGATCGAATTTTTAGCAGAGTTAACAAGGTCCTCAATCCCTTCCTTATTCTAATAATCGGTGTTTGCGATCGTTGTTTTGATTACTATTGTTATTAGTCCTCGATTAGCTCCTTTGCAAATGCACTTGCACTGTAAATAAGATAGGACTTGTGTATATAAAACAGTATCTCTCAAAACACTTTGTTGTTTTCAAGATACGGGTACAGAAGGGTATGACGTAACAATATAATATATATGAAATACTATACATTTCATCTTATAAAACATCTGAAAATATATATTCTTTGTGAATTTCTTTTTCTTCTAAAGCAAAAAATTTAAATCATAAATAAAAGTTGGCTCATGCAATATATTTCTAGATCTGATTTGTCACCCTAGAACCCTATACCTTCATTCCTATTGCAATTTTCCCTACTCTTATCCGTATTTTTATGATCTTTGTGTCTTTGTTCTTTCTCTGCACCATACTTCTATGACTATGTACTATTTAGCTAGCGTGCGTGTGAAAGAATAGGTAGATTTGTTTAAAGGTCTGAGTGGTTTGTTTTTAAATATTTGGTGCTAAGTGCAAATTTGCTACCATGCACTTGTGGGCTTATTGATATTTATAAGTTTTAAAATATGAAATTATGATTTGAAAAATAATCTCTTAGTGCCCTGTACAGCTTGAGAAGCTAGTGTCTGAGGTTGAACTGTTCTATGAATCCACTGATAATGTTCAAGGTAATAATACTTCTAAAGGTGGCTCAGTTGTAAAAGAGAAGGGCCGGGAAAAACATCTTATTGGCACTAAAAAGCCACTGCAAGATGCATCGCATACAGAAGCTGCTTCTGCAAAGAGAATGCAGGAGCTCATGCGCCAATTTTCCACAATATTCCGTCAGGCAAGTGCAAAATGCTTTGCAACTTCTTTTAGTTATCTGTATGAATTTACTTTCTCTCGAGTCTCCTTATATTTGGATTTGATCATGTTAGTTTAAATCATGAATTGAACTTGAGGTTTTTGTAGCTGCTGTTTAGAAAATGTTTTCTGCATTTAAGTTGATGATATTACAAATGTAATTTTATTTTGAGCTAATAATTTTAAACATTTTCAATATCTCAAAACTTATACAGGAACTCATAATCCATGTTTTTACTGTCAACCACCTTAAATTTTTCACTTCATTGTTTAACTTCTTGTTTCCCTACAAATATAAAATTTTCTTTCAAAATGATCAATTTTCCTATTTTGTCAATGGTCAATGCTCGTGTCATTCACAATCTTTTTCCCCTATTCAAATTCCTATTTGGTAATTTATGATTCACGTTAAAGAAAGCACAAAGAGTTGAACAATTTGTTAATCTAATATTAATGGCAGTGGTGGCTCACAATGGAAACCCCAAAAACTGTCATATAGTTTTGGCGGCTGCTGGGTTATGGCAGAATTATGGTGGATATAAGAAAATATATAAAAAAATTACAGGTTATAGGAAATGATAGAAAGGAATTAACTCAATACATAAGTAGCATAACCCAAAATTCAAAGCATAATTTAATACAAAATAAAGAGAGAAATTTGTTGAAGATTCTTGTTGAGCCATGTTAAGGAAAGTTGAAATAAAGGGAGAAGTTATTTGAGGAAAAACAGAGAAAAAAAGAGACGTGGGAGAGGAAAAAATTGAAATGAGGGAAATAAAGAAAAACTGGAAGCGGGAGGGGAAAAACAAAAGGAAAAAAAGGCTATCAGAAAAATTGGAGTCACTAGAATGGAGGTAGCAGTTGCCAAAGATGGAACAATCGTCATCAGAGCTGCAGCAACACTTGTCAGAAAAACAGAGGTTGAAGAAGATTCAAACCTCAATGAGAACAAAGAGCAGAAGATGAAAAGTTGCAAAAAAAGAATCATGAAAGAAGTAGATAGATCAAAGAAGAGAAATGAAATGAGAGGTGAAGAAGAGCTACAGCAGATTTTAGTGTTTGGGTTCACAGGTTCTTTCTCTAGACGGGGTTGGGTTCAATCCCATTTTTTTGCAGGAAAAAACCCCAATTTTCTGGAAAAAAAAGTCATTTTTCCACTATGGCCGTTGTTATTGCCATGACAGCAGCCATGGTGTTGCCACTGAAAAATGTCATTCCCATAACGGAAAGCTTGAAAACCGCCACCGATTCCTGTTATGGTGTTGTCATAACAATTATTTGACAACACTGATTGGAATTGATAATTGCGAGTGTTGTCAAATACTTGTTATGGCAGCCAACTGCCAGTGTTGTTAAATAATTGTTATGGCGCTGCCATAACAGGAATCGATGGCAGTTTTCAAACTCTCTATTATAGGCATGGTTTTATGGCAAATTTAGGTGGCAGCACCATGGCGGAAAAATGACGCTTTTGGCAAAAAAATGGGGTTGGATCGCAGATTCGACTCGGTCCATAGAAAGACCCCCAAGCTCAAATCCTAATATCCGTTGCCTCTCTTCTTTGTCTCTTCTTCGATTTGTCTTCTTCGTTTGTGGTTCTTTTTGTGCAACTTTCCATCTTGTGCTCTTCGTTCTCATTAGGGTTTTGAGTCTTTTTCAACCTCTGTTTTTCCGGCAAGTGTTGCTGTTGTAGCTTTAATGATGACGGCTCCATCTCTGGCAACTGCTACCTCCATCTTTGGCAATTGGTGAGAAAAGCAAAACAGAGACAAATGAGGAAAGAGAGCCATCCTTAAAACAAGGACAGAGACATGCCCACTTAAAAATCGGAGAAAAATGGATATCTGAGAACAAGGTAGTCAAAATCGAGATCCTACTTAGGATCGGAAGGGAAAGAAAAACACGTAACTCGTAGGATCGTAGAGTGGATCGTAAGATCCTACCTAATGTATAAAACTATATTTAAACATACAAATGCTCACAAAAAAGAAGATAAATATGGAACAAATAGTCTTAAATTCATAAAAGACAATCACAACTCAAACATTAATGACAATAAATATATTCTCAAGTCAAATTACACATAAAACTCAATAGTACTAAAGTAAAAACAAACTAGTCAAAGTGTCCAAGATTGGTATTTTTCACTCTAGCAAATCATTCAAGTTTTGATCATAATAATCATCTTCTATTTGGTCTTCATTTTCTTCATCTCCAACTCCATCAAGGTCATCATCAAAAGGAGGAATCTCTAAATCATCTAAATTTACAGGATCATCATCAACATCATTGGAATCATTTCCAACTTGACCCAAGTGTTCATTTGGATTCAAATCCAAGTCTAATAAGTCATCAACTTCTAAATCATCACCATTGGATGAACTTTCATTGGCCATAATCCATTCATCATCATATGAAAGATCATCAAGATTAAACTCCATAGCTTTTCTGGATGTCTTTTTCTTGGCCAATTTTGAGTTAGCCATCACATAAACAACATCATTCATAGTTTGTTGTTTCAAATGATTTCGTCTCTTTGTGTGGACCTAAAAAATATATAAATGCAATTGATTATTTGCTAGTTCTTAATAGGTAAAGAAAAATAACGTAATTTATCATAGTTTTAAAATTTTACAATCTCAAAAGCACTTCAATTACGCTCACATCCAGAGGAGCTACATGTCAAGCTCAATATATGAATAGCAAATCTTTGAAGTTCTGGATGTCCATCTCCATAAGATTCCCACCATTGTACTAGAGTTTTGATAGTAAGTGCATTTAGGGCTGCCTTGCCACCAAAAAATTTCTTTTTTGCCTTGAAATCTTCAAGTTGAGCATCAATTTCAGTCATTTCTTCATCATTTTCTACCATCCTTTCTATACAATCATATAATCCACGTTTAACTTCAAAATCCGCTTTAAAACCAGGACTGTAGTGTAAAAAAGGGTTGAGGTAATAAGCTACAGCATGCAATGGCCTATGGAGTTGATTGTCCCATCTTTCATCAATGATATTCCATAGAGGGAGATAACTAATATATAAAAAAAATTAAATTAATTTTCAAACAAAAATAACTAAAATTTTTAATTAAATTTAATAATTTATTTACCTTCTTTTACTCTCATTGAAGGCCTTTGCTATCTTCTCTTTAGCTCAGTCCATTTCTTCATAAAGGAATCCCATAGCTGGAATCTCATCCGAATCAACCAAACGAAGAACTTTGATTATAGGATATGCACCTCTTAAGCAAACAACACCACCTTTCCAAAAAGTTTTATCCATAATCACATCTTCAACAAACTTTTCGTCTGTTGATTTAGCAAACAGGCTAGTCTTCCATTGATCAGATGTGAACATTCTAACCAATGCTCCCTTATGCTCTTGAAGACATCCCAAAGTAAGATAAGACGTAGCAAAGCCAGTCATGGCTGGTCTCACCAAATCCCTTCCCTTTGGGAAGAATTGCAATAAAGAAATTAGGAAAGTCTTTGAATAAATATAAGTAGTAATTTTTTTCCTCTTTGAGATTATCTCTTGGTGAATACAGTAACTTCTTCTCTAAATCTTCCAATATCAAATCTATGCAGTGAGCAGCACATGGTGTCCAATATAGTTTCTTCCTTTTCTCCATCAACAATTCACCCGCAGCCTTATAATTTGCTGCATTGTCAGTTATAATTTGAACCACGTTTTCTTCACCAACTTCCTCTACAATGTCATCCATCATTTTAAACAATTTGTCAGCTGTTTTAGATATATGAGATGCATCAATTGAAGTCAAAAAAACTGTACCCATAGGCTGTTAACTAAAAAATTCAATATAGTTATCCTTTTCTTGTTGGTCCAGCCATTCGTCATTATTGTGCATCCTGTTTTTCTCCATTCTTCTCTATGTGCTTCAATAGTTTGCATGGTCAAATTCACATGATGTATCAAATACTTAACTCTGATTTCATGATAGGAAGGTGGCTTGAATCCAAGCCCATATTTTGTCACCGATTCCAACATCTTATGAAATTCTTCACTCCTTGCCACATTGAATGGTATGACATTGTTGTAAAAAAAAGAAGCAATATCTTGACACACTTCCTCTCTCAAATTCTTTTTGAATATGTTATTGAGAGTGACTTGATTACTTACTCCTCTCTTCTTGAAAATATTCTCACTGCCTTCAACTTCACCCCCTTTTCTTTTTTCACCAGAATCACTCCCACCATCACCTTCTACAAGAAGTTCGTTGAGTTTGCTATTTGATTTCTTCATTAATTTCTCTTGTAAGGAGGACACAACTAGCCACATTTCTTTCCTCACTTCATCACTAACCGAAGAGCAAGCACCCACATCTTTTTGTGTTCTAGCCAGATGATGTTTTAATCGGTAAACTCCACCAGTTATTAATTTTCGACAATAGTTACACTGAATTTTTCGTGCATCTACATCCACAGATGATCCATGCTGCCATGCCACAACACTCCTGTTTCTAGGAGCATTTTTTCGCAAAGAACCAGCCACAACTGCACCAACAGAGCAGCTCACTGAGCCAGTAGAAGTGTGACCAATGGTAGGACTTGCAACCACTCTCCTACTTTCTGGTTGCCCTCTCTGGATTGCGGGTGTACTTTTCCCACGTGTAGACATCTTCAAACAGGACAGAGAATGGGGAAAACAGATTCGCTATGTTGGAAGAGAAGAGAAATGTGCGTCGTGAATGTGAGGAAGAAGGGAAGTGTGGATCGCAGTGTTGAGGAAGAAGAGAGTGTGGGTCGGGTGCTAGGAAGAAACACTTTGCTGAGGAAGAAGGGAGTGTGGATTGGGAACTGAGGAAGAAGACTTTGGGTCGTGGTCGGTGGTACTGAGGAACTTTAGGTCGCAGTCGGCGGTGTTGAGGTAGAAAACTTTGGGTCGCCGTTGCCTGTGTTGAGCAAAAAAACACTGCGTCGTGGAAAAAGGGGCACGCGAGAAGGGAAGAATGAAAAAAAAAAACCCTAACATCTAAGATTAAATAAGTCGGGTAAAAAAAAAACAGGCCGGGTCAAATCGGGTAATCGGGTTTTTTAAAGAATATGGGGCTCCATCAAACTCATTCAGGATCGCATGCTTCCACGATTTCACGAGGAAGATCGTGCGATCCCAGCGATCTCGAAAAATTGCGTCGCAGGGCAGGAACGGGATCGGAGGCGCTGCAAAAGCTCGTGGAATCGTCCGATCTTACAAGTAAGATCGCGATCTTACAAGTAAGAAGGGAGCATCGAATCGAGAGGTGGAGAAGAAAATGGGTTAGTGATATATTCTGATAAGATTATTTACCCTTGAAAAAACTTAAAACAGGGTCATTTTAAGTGAAAAAAGGGAAAATTATTTTTTTAAAAAGAGTGTCTTTTTTACCCTTAAAATACCCTAAAAACTGCTTCATTCTGGGGTTGAAAAGGGAAAGTAGACATTTTTACTAGCACTGTTGCGCTGTGCAGGGACAGAACCTACCCATACCATAGCAGAAGATGGATAAAAATAGAGAAGACAACATAACAAAAAACCCAAAACTGTTTATCTTGTTCACTGCTAGTAAATATCTTTCACATGAATTATGCATGAATTGTCTGACAATGCAAACGACATATGCAATGTTAGGTCTAGTATGAGATAGATGGATTAATTTTCCCACTAGTCTTTGGTTTTGGGCTTTGTCTATAGTAGGACTCTCCTCTTCTCTTCCTATTTGATGGTTTTGTTCTATAGGTATTCAAATAGCTTTGCATTGCAATTTTCTTGTCCCCTTGAGAAGATTTACAACATATTTTCTCCGAGAGATCCATCATCTCAAACTGAGCAATTAGTTTCTCCTTCAAGTTCTGCTTTTCAATCTCATTATCACCTACAATGATCATATCATCCACATAAATTAGTAAATGTGTTAGTTTACCATCTAGTAAGTGTTATGAAAAGAATATGATCTCCCTAGATTTGCTTGTATCATCACCCAAATCCTTGGGGAATATCTATATTTACTTCCTTCTCTAAGTCTCCATGCAAGAATGCATTTTTTTACATCAAAGTGATGTAAGCTCCAACTAAAGTATGCTACTGATGAAAGGATAGATCTTAGAGTATTCATTTTTGCTATTGGTCCAAATGTCTCCTCATAGTCAATTCCATAAGTCTGAGTATAAATTTAATTGTGTAGCTCTACTTGCATTCCATCGTTTTCTTGTCCTTGGGCCGTTTTATAATCTTCCAAGTGGTATTCCTTTCCAATGCGCTCATCTCTTTATTCATAACTTGAACCTAGTTCTTATCCTTTAAGGCTTCTAGTACAAACTTAGGGGTATTTGAAGAATCAATAGCAGAGATAAAACTTTGATGCTGCACATATAGATGTTTAGTAGATGAACATACTAGGCAAAACCCATGTCAATATTGTGTTTTGTGACAACCCACACTTATTTCCTCACTTGTAGGAATGACCTCAGTTCTTGCTCTAAAAGACCAAGGCAAAGGAATCAATTTTCATATTAATAGTGTGTCATACGTTTAGATGTGTCCTAATTATTTTTATCATAAGTTGATTTTCATGCTCATTTGCAATATTTTGTTTTTTATTTCATTTTCCATGTAGTGGACTTCACCAAGTGGTTTGAGATTCTTTTAAGAGTCAACCTTAAGGATTTGTTTAGTAGACATTATACAATAGGAAATGATAGGATCTGAGACTTGGTGCAACCAAGGTAATATTTGATTTTGTTTATTTCTATCTCAAGTGTCCCAACAGGATAAAATTATACTAGAGAAGGATAGAATAACCATGGGAAAAAGTTATCATATCATGTCAGTTAAACAAACGTGAAACATAGGATAGGATAGGAAAAGTTATCCTATTCTGTTCATCAAATGAGCCCTAAATTCTTAAAACACTTCTTTTTTGCTGTTTAAATAAATGATCTTCCATTTTTTGGTTGAATATATTGAGTCTATCAACTTTCCTATAAAAAATCAATATATTTTTGAATTTTCACAGATCACACAGCATAAATGGGCTTGGCCCTTCATGGATCCTGTGGATGTAGAAGGTCTTGGGCTTCATGACTATTATGAGGTAATATTGCCTTTTCTTTGTTTTAATGCTTCTCTCTTGGTCTAGACTATTTATCTTTTATTCATAATTGAGATTTTTTGTTTTATATATCCTTTGTCCCGCCTAAAACCAATTATGTTTGAACATATTTTATTGAAAAATGGTTTAAATATTGATTTGGTCTGTGTTCTGCAAGTAGTAGCACTGATTTCACTAGTTGACCATCTTTCTTCTATAATAATTATTTGGGAACTGTTTGTCTTTGATTATATCTCTAAAAATAATTGTTTAATTTTCTGCCCCTAGGTTATTGATAAGCCGATGGATTTCAGTACAATAAGAAGTAAAATGGAAGCTAAGGATGGCACTGGATATAATAATGTCCGGGAGATATATGCAGACGTAAGGTTGATATTCAAGAATGCAATGAAATACAACAATGAAAAACATGATGTCCATGTTATGGCAAAGACCTTGCTGGAAAAGTTTGAGGAAAAATGGCTACAACTTTTACCTAAAGTTGCTGATGAGGTAAATTGTTTTCAAGATAGTTTTCCTTTATTTTGAACAATGAAGCTTTCTTAAAAATATGTTAAGGAACTGGGTGTAAACTCATGGTCATTTTGAAAGGGTTTGGCCTATAAACAAGTTTGGAGTGATGGAAAAATCTTGATCCTAGGACAAACTCAATTTTGTTTGGATCATGCCCAGCACTTAGATTTAGAAGGATTATGCTCATGGTAATAAATAAATATTTCCTATTTATTTACAGTTATTCTCAACAATCCCATTCCAGTTAAACAAATTACATGGATAGTTACAATAATTTTTTTTTTCCTATTTAAATTAAACTTCTGAAAGTTTAAATTAATTTAAGCACATCAACTTTTTTAGAAGTTTCATAATTTAATGTCTCTAAAGGCACTTATAAACTTAAGAAATCTAAGCATTCTTTTTTATAAGAGTCTTAACAATAAGTTTTACAATTAAAAGGCTCTTATATGCTTGAAACTAATCCAAATTGGGCTACATGTGTGTGTGTGTGTGAGAGAGAGAGAGAAAGACAAACAGACAGATCTTATGATCAACTCTTACTGTGTTCCTATGTAGATCTAAGAGTTTAACAACCCTACTTACAGATATGTTAAGGGACTAGATAGTTTTGCTTCACTGTGTTTCCCTCCCCCCCAAAGGAAGATCCTTTATCCTCCTATCTCTGTATTCGTCATATATTTATTCTAATGAAATTCTTCATCTATGAAAAGAAATTAAACAAAACAAAATAAAATTCTTATATACAATTTCAGAGGCTGCAGTCCAAGCAGCTGTGATTTTGGTTATCCTATGTAATATGCCATTACTTTTATATATTTGATTATGTTAGGAAAACAGACAGTTAGAGGAAGAAGCACAGGCACAACTAGACATTCAGCTTGCTCAGGAAACCACTTATGCCAATAAAGCTAAGGATATAAGCACTGAGGTTGGTTACTGTTTGCTAGTATTGGGTTTTTCAATGCAAAATATTTGTTGTTTGATGTCACGTAAGAGTATATTATATTGTATGCTGTCGACTACCATTTTCAGCTTTATGAGGTTGATATGCATTTGAAGTCTCTCAAAGAACTGGTGATTCAAAAGTGCAGGTTTGTTGTTGCATCTGTACGATTTGTGCCCTATCACTTATATTGAGGTCTAACTTTTATTGAAGTCTTACTCTTTTAAACAAAATGATTGATGTTAAATTCAAAAGGTGATTAAATTTATGAATAATCACTCACTGCTGCAGTTAGGTTTGTTAAAAATGCAAAGCATATTTTGCTTTTATTGGACAGTTGACGATTCAGTAAGAAATGGAAAATGAATGCCTCCTGGCTCCTTCATATGTCAAATATTGCAACCACAGTCTGACATTTCATTGCCTTAGCATATATAATTCGATACCATTTAGTTTTTGACAATGAAAATTGTATTGTATAAGCTGAAGGTTCATCCAATCTTATTAACCCTGTCTTATATGTAGATATGGACTACATGAGTAATTTGTTTTAACAATTAAAATTATATTTTGAGTATTTTTTAAAGGTTCAACAATAATTTTAGTCTTATGCTTTGTTTAGTTGTAAAAAAATGAGTGAACAAAACATGCTGTAAAAAGAAAATATTGAAGAGAAAATGAGATAAAATTGGAATGATTTTTTATTTGTTTAGGAGAGAAAATGAGAATAAAGATAATATTTTTTGTTCTTTTGTTTGGTAGAGTAGAAAATGTAATGTATGTAAAAATGTCACCAAAATGACATTTTCTATATACATCAAGGAATGTGCCCAATTTCTCTTCCTTTTTCTTTCTATGCATTAAGGAATGAGCATGATGCAAGAGGGTATGAGTAGTCTCAAGAAGATGTCTATTTTTACATTCAACAACTCCATTTTATTGAGAGTATCAGCACAAGACTCTTGATGAAGAATCCCATGTGAGGTCATGAAACTCTGAAAGGAAGAAGACAAGTATTATTTGGCATTATCACTTTGTATTGTATGAATAGGAACTCCAAATTAAGTTTTTATTTCATTATAAAAACTGAAAGATAGAAAACAACTCAGAACAGTCTTTCATTAAATAATGCCAATTACATTGAGAATAATCATCAATGAGAGTGACAAAGTATTTTGATCTTAAACTAGAAATGACATGATTGGGACCCCAATCTAAATGAACCAAAGTAAAGAGAGACAAGGGTCGACTAATGACACAACTAGGAAATGAACTAAAAACATGTTTACTTAATTGACATGACTCACAGTAAAGAAGACAACTTAGACAGATTTGACACTAACAACTTCAAGTTGACAAGACTGAGATGGCCCACTTGAGCATGAACAATGAGTGGAGTGTCCATCGCTGAACTAATATGAGATGATTGTGTTAAACCTCTAATCAGGAAGGTTTATGTAAGAAAAAAGAAAGGTGGGCCAGCCCTAGATCAGCAACAAAATAACTGATAACTAACCCTAATACAACAGTTGTCACAAGTGAGGAATAAATAGGAGAAAGAGAGGGAAGTGGGGGACATCTTGGTTAATCACTTGGATTGGACTAGGAGAGATCAGGCTCTTGAATACCTGATAGGGACTGTTACAGGATTTGTAAAACATTCTAAACTAGTGTGGAGGTATCAATTCCCCAACAAGAGTCATTTCTCAATAATACACGATTCTTTCCTGGATTGTCTCCTTTCTTTTCTGTTCTAATCCCTTTGGTCCAATTCTATCAACTGGTATCAAAACACTCGATTTTGGGGTGCATAGCCATAGATCACTAATGGTACACACAAGAATGGAGGCTCAGTTGGAATCTTTAGAGCTTGGGTTTGAGAAAATCCTTCAACGGTTCAAGGATGATAAACAAGAAATGAAGAAACTACTCCAAGAAGCCATTACTAATGTCACACGAAATTCTGAGCAAGGAAATTGCAATGCAGAGGAAGAAAGCAATTCAACTGGGAGATGCAAGAAAAGACCAAGCATCAGCTGGGGGTGGGCAAGATTGATGGAGGAAGTTAAAGATTCCTATATTTTTGGGAGAGGATTTGTATGGATGGGTGAATTGGATAGAGACATATTTTAATGTAATTGGCATTTCTGAGGAGGAAAAGTTACAAGCAGCGTTGATAGCCATGGAAGGGAAGGTGTTGACATGGTATCAATGGTGGGAGTATTGGGAGGATTTCCAATCAGCAATAATAAGGAGATTCCAACCCTCAATGTTGCAAAATCCGTATGAGATGTTATTAAGTTTGAAGCAAACAATGACAGTGGAGGAATACCGGGAACAATTTGAGTTGTATGCCAGTCCCCTCAAAGGGGTGAATTCAGAATACCTTAGAGGAATATTTTTAAATGGCCTGAAGGAGGTAATCTGAGCAGAATTGAGGTTACATCATATAGATAATTTGCCAGAACTCATGGATCAGGCTCAAAGGATTGATGAGAAGAATATGCTGGTTCGAGGACTGGCCCACCTTTTCTTTTTCTTTACATACACCTTCCTGATTAGAGGTCTAACAGATTGTCAAAATTAGTACTGACCCAGGGACTCACATTTGAAGCCATCATCCTCTCCAAACTCTGGTCTTGCAATGTGACAAAATCTTTGGTAAAGAAACAATGCAATTAAGAGAACTAGTAGGACAATGGATAGAGTGGATTAAAGGGGGACCTAAGAATATAAAGGACATTATCAATGGACAGATGGAATACAAGTTTGAGAGTCTTTTGGGCCTTCCTTGATCTAGCCCTAGTTATGGACCCTCCTAAACCTTATAATGGATCCTGAACCAAGCTTTGTCTCGGATAGCAATAAGCCCATAATGAAAAGAGTATATTATAGGAAAAGGAAGAGTGGAGTGGACCAGTTAATGTTAAGGCCAAACCTAGACAAACAATCAGTTTGCTTATAATTAGGAGGCAGTTACAAGGGATGGTTGTTATAAAGATCAAAGTTAGGAGAATTGAGGTGTCTTTTTGTGCGTGAAAAAGTTTGTGTAGGAGAGTTGCCAGGATCTCTCAAATATTTCTGGCATTTTATGATAACTGTCTGCACTTACCCTGGGTACAGAACTGTGTTCATTCTTAGTAATCCAATTCAATCTTTCTTTCCCTTTCCTTGATGTTCTCATTAGTAGTAGAAGATTGTTGTGCTGCTATTTTCAGTTGGAGATACTCCTAATAGTCTCTGTCTAGCAAAATATTTTGATTGTTTTCACCAAGTTCAGTTTGCTTTTCCACAGCAGAAGAATGAGAGAACATCAAATTAGCTGTTTTTTCTTGAAACTCAATCAAATCTTAGGTGTGGCCTTACAATAAGAGCATTGCGATGATACACCTCCTTCCTCACCACTTACAGTTTGAATTCTCAGACCCTGATACACCTCCTTCCTGAACCTATGCCCCATTGCCACATTGTGTGAAGGGTGGTTGTCATTCACTCAGAACAGTTCTCTAGGTCAATGTAACGTTGCTCCACCATTGTGTATTTTGAAAGCTGGTTCGGCCACATCCTTGTCAAGAACAATGTCAGATCCAAATATTTGTTTTCTTATGGCTTAAACTGAGTTAACTGTGTCACTGAAGTGGGTGTCATTGGAGACTGGGATCACCAGCAAGAACAGGTTGCAGACCAAGATCCAATTTGATTTAAAACTGGTGAAGCTATCAGTGTCAGAGTCAGATTGTGGTCATAAGAGTGGTCTCTTCTTGTTAAAATAGGGAATAAGAGGGAGGGAGTTAAATTTTACCGCACTCCAGCTGTCATTTCCTTCTATATTGTCATTTTGTGCACTTAGTTGACAGTAGACATTTTCTTACAATCAGTGTGATTAGTCACTAAAGCTGGATGTCTCATGATTTTATTACATTTAAGAGATCAATTGGAATTGAAACACAGTAACAGAATTGAATGACGGGTAGTAGTACTAATAGTCTCGAGATATTTGGAGGAACAGGAGCTTATAGGTCTGCAATACACAGTCATAAGAGGGTTGATCTTTCTTCTGGTTAACAATTAGGGAAATGAAAAAGAAGCTTCTATTATTAATTCTGAATCAATCTTGTTGCAATCTCCAAATGCCCTTTTTGTTGCATAGATACTGTAATATAAACAAAATCCAAGGCCTTGAAAAGATAATAAACTTTGTTGCCATCCGAGATTACTATATTCTAGTGGAACCAAAAGACAAAATGCAGACTAACAGGTCTAACATTGATAATGTGAAGAATAATTGCAGTAATGGCTGTGAGCAGTAATGTGTACCGTCCAGAAATCTAATGTTTAGTTATAATTGACGTCGTATCCTGAATATCCATTTTGTTAGGGCGTTACGTCCTCCCAGCGTATCATATTGTATTCATTATGGATATTTTTCACTGTTATAGTTGCTGATGTCACTGTAGGAAACTGTCTACGCAAGAGAAGAAAACGCTTGGGATAGCTCTCACCAGATTCTCTGCTGAAAACCTCTACAAGGCATTGGAAATAGTTGCTGAGACTAACCCAAGCTTCCATCCTTCTGCTGAAGAGGTGGACCTCGACTTAGATGCTCAGGTCAGTAATGCTAATCATTATCTAGATAATAATGTTGTTTACTGCCATCTATTATTTTTAAGCACTTCTTTTGTTTAGCATATTTCTAATTACACATCTTTTTTACCATTATATACAGAGTGACTACACTCTATGGAGGTTAAAGGCTTTTGTAAAAGACACAATGGAAGAACAAGAAAAGGTTGATGGGGGTGAAGCTGTTAACCCTAATGATAACAATGACGACAAGAAAAACAACTCCAAGAAGAGGAGAGATTCTGGTGATTCTTCAGGCAAAACAAACCTGAAAAGGAGAAAACTATCGGCATTGTGATTTGTCATTAGTAGACTATATGAGGTATTAGTTTAGTGTGATTGTACCTTACACTGAGTTGGACGATGCAGTGGGAACATTCTGTTAACTCCTTTTTCACTGTCAAGTTATTGGATCCAACTAAATTCCTTATTTTAACATAAGATACTAGATTTTGCCTCAAGTGTGCTCTGTAGGAAGCCAGCTTTTGGAGGCATGGAGATCAAAACCGTTGCTAACGTAATGCTTCCGTGAACAGTATATAAGAGGTCAACCATTTGGATCTTGTTAATGTTATCTTCCGGTTCTGAGGAAAATTTGAGGCATCTATGCCTGCCGGGAAAGAAAATCGAACATATCGTAGGAAAAGATATCAAAAGTAACTCGGTCGAGCAGCTTAGATCACCGAGTGTAGGGGAACTCTCATTTTTAACTTTTGGAGTACATACTCATCTCTGTAAAGGTATGAAAAGTAACGTGATAGTTGATTTGTTGGAACATCGTGTCTAGTTATAATGTTTGATACAGCTTCATATTCATTTTAAGAAAAACGACTTGTAATATATATATATATATATATATATATATATATATATATATATATATATATATATATATATATATATATATTATTTTTTTCAATTTTCAATACATTTCTTATGATTAGGCCATTTTTAAAAATAGTCAAATATGTTCTGTAAATCGATCATTTTAAAAAATTGACTAATCTCAAAAAGTATGTTAAGTCATTTAATACATAATTGTGAATGAAGAAGTCTTCTCACTTGATCAAAAGAATTTATCGTTGCTTGTGAGACACTCAGTTTTAATTTACTGTTTTATTTAATTAATTATTTGAATTAGGATTTTATGTTACTTTCAATCATGTTTTTAAATAAATAATCACAGTAAATGATAACTATATGTCATGTTTCTGAATATTACTGGCAACCATAATTATTCAGTTATATATGTCTCGAGTAAAAATTTCAAAAGTGACGATTTGTTGGATTGACGCACCAAAGTATATAGTATACAAATCATCCTTTCTAAACTTACTACTTTCTACATTTCACTAACATAGTGGAGATCTACATTTCGGGAAAATAGAATATCTATAATGAAAAATTTAGATGTCATTGTTAGAAGGTCAAAGCACAGCTGTAAATCTGTGACTCGGTAAGTGACAAATCTCCTATAAAAAAAATCATTTGAGTGGTACAATTATAGCTCCACTCTTCCATAAAATTAAAGGTGATGATGACTTGGAACTGGGTTTATGTGGATCATTACTTAGATCCATCTAAACTTTATATAATAAAGACCAACAAACACAAAAAAAGTGAGCATAATTATAAATTAATTTGGTAATGAAATTAAACATTAAAATAAAAAACCTCAAATATTTAACAAGGCAATAAGCAATAACATATTATGTATGAATGTGGGTTTATTTATTATATTCTTAACTTTGATGGCAAGCTAAAGAATTTGTTAGAAACTCTGCATTATATCTTGTATTTTTTTACTTTTTCTATAACACCCCGCTTTTACTCACAAATAATTTTAATTGTCGTTCTAATTATTTTCTTTAGTAAACAAAATTAAGGATTATTATTAGAATAGAGAACATTAGATTAAAGTCCTTGGAAAAGCTAATCAAATTATTCTCTATAGCTCTAAATATCAGTAATTCAGCTAAATTATTCGTGCTTTGTAGAAAGTTAATTCAAAGAGCTTCGATTTGTCACTTTATTTGCTAAATTTGAAGTTCTTAGTTGAAAGTATCTAAAATTGGCCCCTAGATTTTGTCATAATAAATTACGAGAGTTAAGTGTTTCTTAATAGTTTGTTATTAGGATTTGAGCCTTTGTGAACCATTTTATTTTTTGAACTTATTAGCTTAAGTTTAATTTACGATTAACCTTTATATATAGAGAGGAAGTTGGAAGAATTTAAGACTTTTTTTTTTTACTTTCTTTTGATTTTGTTATTTTTGATTTAGAGTTAATTTGAGTTCTTCCTTGTTTTCTCTTTCTTTTTACAAATTTGTTCAGCTTTTCCATGATAATTGTCCTTAAATTGGAATTTGTGTTTACAATTGTGATGGAGGAATAATTTAATAGATCAATCTATGAATTAGACCCTGTAAAACGTTAAGGTAACATTTTCTATTTTAATTCAATTTGAAACCATATCTCTTATCTTCTCATATTTATCACAAATACTTTTAATTTGGTCTTGGATTGTGTTAATATGATTCCAGATAATTCATACTTGTTGAATTCATTATTCGTGCAATCTTGAAATGTTTATTTGTGTATTTTGAACTTTTGAGATCGAATTGAGAAAAATCGTATTGAATCGATTAGATATGCCTGTTCAACGATCATTCAAGGAATTCATATTAAATACACATGTTCTTTAATTTAAATTTACAAATTAGATTAATATTGATTTCAAAACAAAATTTGCTTTGTGGAGTAGAAACCGTAAGTTGAATGCTTTTAATTTATTAAATTTCTTTGTATTTTAATTTCTTTATTATATTCTTGCTTGAATTCAAAATCTCCTTAATTTTCTGTGTTTCATTTTTACTGTTTGTAATCGAGGTTCTCAAGAGAACGACTTAAGTTAATCTCCTAGTTTAATGCATTTAATTTACTTTTTATTTGACTCAGTATGAAGTGATCAAATTGGCGCAGGATCATTGGTTTTACAACTGAATTCATATTAGAGTTTGTTAATTAGGATTAGTTTAAGATTTGAATTGATTACTTTTATTTTTAAATAATTAGAATTAGGATTACAATTTGATTAGATTAGATAAAGTTTTTTTTTGCTTTTAAAAAAATAAATTAAAAAAGATAAATTAAAATTAGGATTTGATTAAATTAGATAAAGTTTGTTTTGTTTTTAAAAAATTAAAATTTAAAATTTTAAAAATTTTAAAATTTAAATTAGGATTAGGATTTTATTAAATTAAATAAAGTTTATTTTGCTTTTAAAAAGATAGTTTAATTTTTTATTAGGATTAGATTTGGTAGATTAGTTTGGATTAGATTAATTCAAATTTTGACATGTTTTGGCACTCTTCGACACATTACAACACTAGAGACCCCACGATTCGCATTCCATGGAGTTTAGAGATAGTGTAATTCGATTTAGTATTCTTAATGCCATGTAGCAACCCAATGAAGACCATTTTGTACTCCATATTGATTCATTGACTAATATTGCTCATGATACCTTTTCTAAGTTTATTGATGATAATTTACCTACATTAGGTAGTTTTAGTGATTCTTCTACCTGTGATACATGCACTAATTCTTATACATGTCTGTATATGCTGAGATTGAATTGTATTTGTACCAGAATGATGTTTTAGCTGTAGATATTTTAGTTATAGATATTTTTGATATTGTACAAGTTGAGTGTGCAGGTGTTGATCAGATTAACATGCAAGTTGCTGATGTAGTACCCACTAAATCACTTCCTTCTATAGTAAAGCCTTCTACCTTGGAGTTGAAGCCTTTACCTACCAACGTGCATGATTGAGGGAATAATTGACCCCTCACCTATTTGGGATGACTTTCTTAATGAACAACTTCTCCAGTTGCATTCAACTACTTGTTCTTCCATTTTTTCCCCCTCTATTCTATCTTATACTCTCTATCGTTGGTTTACTGATATTGTGAATTATTTAGTTGCAATTTTTCTACTTGGCTCCTTTAAAGCCTAAAGAGATAAGCTTAAGAGTGAAGCCCCCTATTTGTGTCATTTTTACAATGACCAGGTGATCGCAGATGTATTCCAGATGATGAGATTTAGTTTATACTTTAGTTATGTTATGTCTCAACTATAGGCCATCATCTCACATCACAACAAACAGGGTGAAACCTATTGGATGGGGGCTTGTACTAGCCCATCATTTTTAGAGATGCTTGGAGAGTGTACTACTTGTGATCAATGTTGGAGATCAAGCATAGTCATCATTGCAAGACATGAGATGCCACTATAGCCTATGTTGTTAACTTTATGGGCCTCTTTCTCGTTTCTTTTGACTATTCCTATATTTTGCTTGTTGTGGATTATGTCTCCAAGTGAGTAGAGGCTAAGGTCACTTGTACTAATGATGCTCAAGATATTGTTGATTTTTGCAAGTCTCACATTTTCTGCAGGTTTGGCATACCTAGGGTCATCATTAGTGATCAGGGTACTCATTTTTATAATAGATCTATGCAAGCTTTGCTTTAGAAATATGGAGTTGTGCATCATGTCTCGATATCTTACCATCCCCAAACTAACAGATAAGAGGTTCAAATAGGGAGATTAAGCAAATCTTAGAGAAGATGGTGCAACTGAATAGGAAGGACTAGAGTTAGTGCTTTGTGGGCGCATAGGACTGCTTATAAGACACCTATAGGGATGACTCCCTACCATCTTGTCTTTAGTAAAGCATGCCACCTTTCAGTTGAGACAGAGCGTGAAGCATATTATGTGGTGAAGGCTTATCACATGTCCATGGATAAGGTGGGTAATGAACGAAAACTTCAAATCTAAGAGCTTGAGGAGCTTCATTTAAAGGCACATAAAAACTCTAAATTCTATAAGGAGAGAACGAAGAGATTTTAGGATGCTACCATTGCTAGGAAGGAAATCTCTATTAGGAAAAATGTCCTATTGTTTCAGTATCAGGTTAAGCTTATTTCTATTAAGTTGCGTTCTAGGTGCGTTGGTCCTTTTGTAGTTACTAACATTTTTTCTTATGGTGTGACATCACTGATAAGTGTTTTAAGGTTAATGGACATCACCTCAAACTTTTTCTATGAACAAGTGACACTTGTAATCTGCAAGCATTGAGGAGCTTACATTAGAGGAGCCCGCCATTTCCATGTTGTCTTGAAGGAGTTTTTATTTCTCTTTTCACTACCATTCTTAAATTATACTTATTCTCATCTTATTATTGTTTCAGTGAGGAGCTCAACCAATTAGAACGTGGAACGGAAGCTTTAAAGGAACAAAGAGGAAGCTTATTAGAGGGACTTAAAGGATACATGAAGGAGAAAAGGAAGGACCACTAACTTGCACTTCAAAAACAAAGCCAAACAAGGTAAAAGAGTGGAGTATGACAGTTAGGCCAAGGATGTATGTTAAATGAATTTTTGAGTTATAGGAGTCCTTTATCTCTTTATTTAACTTAGAAATATTTGATCATGTGTTAAAAAAAAGGTTAGATTTGTTTCATGGAACAAATAAAAGACAAGGAATGATTTAAAGTAACAATAACAAAAATTGTAAAATCGCAATTTTGATATTTTCTCAAAGAAGGAAAAATAAGTTTACTATAATTTCCTCCATTAACGGCAAAATTGTTATTTATTTAACTTAAAAGAGAAATAAATATTTGGAATAAATGTTATTATGTGTTCTTATTTTTCTATTATTTTCATTAATATGATATTATATTCTCACATAAAAATGAACCTTTCACA